ATCTAAAAAAAGAGCTATTTTTCAACACAAGTGATTCAGTGTAAAATTAAACTGGAGGAACTGGTTAAATCACTAGATCCTCATCCTCTACCCACATCCGCCTTCATAGGTTTAACAGCAGGGATTTTGATCAAGCCTAACTCTACCTGAATTTTAGTATGCACATTTTAAATCCATTTGTATTACCTATACTTTTTTTTTCACTAACTACAGAAATTTCTTAGAGACGGTACAATATAGTGGAAAATGGCCCTTGAAATTTGGCACTGTCAACATGTATGTAACTCTCATCTCTTGTTCCCTCTTCATCTCATGAGATGATGAAATTAGGGCATTTGTTTATATTAGGTGCTCAATAGATGTAAGCCCATTTTTCTAAAGACACATACTCTCACCCACTGGGCTAGGAGGTACTCTCCATATTTTGGAATCCTTAAAAGATCTTTTGACTATGTACTAGTCGACAATAGTAGCTAAGTTTCTGAAGAACAGGGCAAGTACAAAGTCAACTTGGAATAAAAATCATAGAATCAAGAATCTTTTAGTCCAAGGGCGCGTGGGTGATGCAGTCAGTTAAGCGTCCAACTCTTGGTTTGGGCTCAAGTCATGATCTCAGGGTCATTAGATCAAGCCCTGCCTCAGGTCACCTCTCCTTTGCCCCTCCATGCTCTGGGCTCTCCAAAATAAATACATCTTAAAAAAAAATCTAGTCCAACTCTTTCATATGAGGAGGAGGAAACAATGTAAGAACACCAATTATTTATGTCAAATTATTTAGTATTAAATGTTGGGACTAAAACCTTTTAGCTTCTTGCTTTCTAATTCCAAAGCTGATTTCCCTTTTACTACATATGTGTATGTATTACCTCCCACAGAAGATCGCTTCCATTAACATGAGAGATAACAGGTGGTAAGAATTTAGGAACTCTAGCCATACTTCCACTACCATATTATGAATTACTAATAATGAATTGATAGTGCCTTGTGCTTCCCTTTCTCAACTGCAAACACAGGCTACATGCCAACAAATCTGAACTTGAAAAAATATTTTTAATAGTCATTCTTTACTATTTCAAACAAAGTGCAGTCTTTGAGAGCTTCCTTTCCTGCTTAATGTTAAATTAGGTGATACTTAAGAGCCCTTACTGTTTTAATATAATTATAGAAAGTAAAGTAGTGTTCTCAGTAATAATTATATGCTCACTATAATAGGTAAAGATTATGCAGGAAAAAAATAGAAAAATAGTGGCTACACAGAAAATTTCTTTTGAATTTGAAATTCTGAAACTATTATGTAACATTCACCATGAAGCATGGCAAGAAAGTTAGTTTTTTTATATCCTCAAGCTGGAAATGATTTAGTTCAATTGTAAACATTTTTAAGTCAAGACTAAAGTAGAAAGTTTTCTATGACAACAAAATTGTCAATTGCCTAAGCTGAATGAAAAGATAAAATTTTCTATGTAGTTTTCTTTGTTGGGTCACTCATGTTTTCATTCATGTTTATTTTTATCTAATTATTCTGGTTACAAATGTCTAAAACCTATCCAGAAGGTGAATTTTAATGAGAAAAGGTGATAAAAATATTAATTTTTCTCTCCTATGTATTTTATTTGAATGTATAGTGGTTGAGAAACTTCACAATGCACTAATTTTTAAAACAGTATATAAACATTTTCCCAACATACTCTAAATTCCTCTCTACTCCTAGGATACCAAAGCTCACCTTATGATAATTCTTTTTGGAATCTTTTAACAGAAGTATATATACATATGAAACTGTATATTGCAACTTTAGCATTAGTCACAAGGCTTCTTGAAGAATACTGATCATGAAAACAAATTATAAATAACAATGATTTTAATGTTCTTGCTTAGATGGGTTTTAGTCTTCTTTTAAAAAGAACATCAAGGCTTGGCTATGATTGTCCTGAAAACATTGCTGCAGATAATAATGTACACCAAATAAGTTGGTCTGGTTCTGTGTATCACATTTTTAATCTTAATTCTGATTGGTGGCAAACATGCAAAGAAGGAACTAGCTTTTATTTCTGTACTGCCTCTGCCCTCCACAGGAAACAAGACGCTAAGTGACTTCAGAGCCTAGCATCTCTGAGATTTCCAAGGGTTCCTATCACTATCCTAACTTAGAAAGTCCATGGTGACTGGTTTTCAGAAACCGAGGGGCTTATTAAATGTTAGAAATGGGATATGGCAGCTCCACCTCAAGTAAACGAAACTAATAACAAACACAGTGTTCCATTAAGGATAAAATAGAAATTTATTTAATGTGGTAAGTCTTTTGATAGGTTTGACTTTCAATAAAAAAGACATGAAGATAAAAGGTTCAGAAGAGTAGCAAAGCTAATTTAAAAATAGGAAGTAAGGGAGAAAAGTAAATATTTAAAGAACAGAAGGCTAGATGGCAACAGTTTCTTCAAATACTTTAATTATAAGGAGGGAGTGAGTAAATGCAGAACTACAGGGAAAATGTATTTAAAAGCCCTCAAGAATTTAGGTTAAATTAAAACAGAATTTTCTGGTACTTGAAGACCATCTTGCTTCAGTTTGGAGGCAGAGGGTTCATTCACAGAACTCCTGAAGCTCTGGAATCATTGAAAATTAATCATGCTTATTAAATTATCTTTAGGCACCTCATCCCTGTGTTTTTTGAGCACTAACAGGAGTTAGCTCTGCCTCAAGATTGTCACTCAGCACACCAAGGAGGAGTAATTGGATCTTGTTATCTGCTCACCACTGCCTCAGATCTTAGACTGGCTTGAGCCTTCGTGAAAAGGAAGATGATTATAACCTGCAGTAGGAAAAAGATTCAGGCTGAAGATCTGTGATCTCAGGTTAAGCTGTCTCAACTACTGAACTCATTTCCCTTTCACGTCATGTAATCACTAACAATTGTCTAAGTGTCTAACACTAACAACCACTAACAAATGCCAACAGAAAGGGGAAAAAATAATGTAACTCTTAAGAAAGAAGGAAATCTATTCTGTCAAAGCTTGAAAAGTACGTGAGTACAAAAGTCTCCTCCTGATGTGGAAGTTTTCCAAACCCCATATCTTAATTTTTTTCAGAAAAACACTTAGGGTCTTCCTATAATTAAACTTGCTTTGCCCCTTCCTTAGAAATACTGTTACCTTCCACATAAAGGAATGGAGTACTTCAAAGTAAAATATCAGAACTGCAGTTGAAAGATACTCAGTGCCAGTTAAGTAACATTTTGAAATCCAAGAAAGAAGTCAAGAATTCCATGACACGGTGTTTCCATATTCATAAATACTCTTAAATGAATATATCCATTTGGGGCTTGCAAGCCAAGAAAAAGATATGTTCACATATTTTGCAAAGAAGTGAATATTCTGATTCTTCAAAATGTAGGTCGAGATAGTTCTCAACTTTGATATTGTGATAGAAGGGTGGCTTCCGAAAAAGATAATCTTTTAAAAAATCATGAAAAGGACAGAGGCTGAAGGTATGCACAGAGGAGGTGGGGGTGGAAGGAGAAACTGGAAGAATTAAGAGAACAGGACGCAGCTCTAGAAACGATACCTGTCCCAAAGTGGGTCTGCACGCCGCTGTCGCCTTGCACAGCGCTCCTGGAAAGCTCATCTACAAATTCCGTGGTGGGCCAGGGGTGGCAGGGCTCCTAAGGAAGGAAAGAGAACAGAAATGATTCTGTTCTCGGGAGTCCAGGGAGCCAGGGGGGACCATCCTGATGGGGAAAGTGGTGTCTCTTTCCAGGGCTGCAAACCTCTCCGCCTGTTTCCTTCGGTCCCTATTCAGTCCGTCCCAGCCTTGGAGCAAATAGAGTTGCGGTCCACCCGGCTGCGGGAGACCTAAGTTTCCCATAGGTCCAGCGAGCACCCAGGCAGCGGGTTTCCTTGGTCTTGCCAGTCGCAGGCTCCTGCCCCACGCGCGATGTTCCCACAGCAAACTCCGCCTGAATCAGCCTGTTTCACTCCTATGCTGGCGCCCTCGGGGCGGGCTGGGGGTCGGGGAGCGCGGCCCTCGCCAAGGCGGTTGGGAGGGCTAGGACCCCGCCGCCAGACCGTTACTTCGCTCGCTGGGCGTGGAAGGGCGGCGCGCGGCGGGTCACGCCTCCCGCCCCGCGGCGTGCAGGTCCGCGCGCCCGCCCAGGCCCGAGAACGTGTGGCGGACTCTCCCCGCCGCTCGCCCGGAACTCCCTCACCACCTGCCCGGTCCGGCCCGGCAGCCCGTCTCCCCCGAGCGCCCGCTGCCTGGCGGCTGGCTCGCTCTCGCGGCTGGCTGACCAATCCCGGTTTAGAGTTCAAGATTCCCGCCGCTCCGCTGGCACTACGCCCTCTGCCTGTTTTCTGTTTTTGTTTTAACTTTCACTCGGGTTCGGCTCTACCCATCCTAAGCTTTCATCTCAGACGCTTCTCCAAGGGAGATTTAAGGAGGATCTCAAGCGCCAGCCGCCGCTCTCCCCGGTGCTCGCCCGCCCCTCGCCCACGGGAGACGTCCCTGGGGCGGGCGGGGCGGAAAGGCCCGGGTCGGCGGCGGGTGGGGCCGGGCGGAGCCGCCTCCCGCACGGGGGAGCCCCCGGGCTCGGCCCAGCTCAGCCGCGCCTGCCCTCGGGGCAGCTGCCCGAAGAGCCGGAGAAGCTGCCGGCGGGCGATGGAGACGGGGAGACACCGGGCGAGAGGAGGCGGGGTGAGGGAGGCGGGGAGAGCGCGGGGGCGGAGGCTGGCAGGGGGCGCTGGAGGCAGGAGCCGCCCGTGCGCTCCTCGCGCCCGAGGGTGCAGGAGGCTCTGAAGCAGCGGTCGCACCGCGAGCCTCCGGGGCCCGGCTGGCGGCGGGGCTGGGGGCGGCGGGGGGGGCGCTGCCGCCGCCGGGGGCGTCGCCGGCCTCGGCCCCTTTGTTCTCGCGCGCTCCCCCTCGCCGCCCACTCCCCTGCTGTCGCGCGGCGGCGGCGGCGGCTCCTCCCGCCCGAGGCAGTCGGGCTCGGCGCCGGGGGCGGGAGGGGGCGGGGGGAGCGCGCCAGCCGCCCGGAGTGGGGGGCGATGGCGAAGCTCCGGGTGGCTTACGAGTACACGGAAGCCGAGGACAAGAGCATCCGGCTCGGCTTGTTTCTCATCATCTCCGGCGTCGTGTCGCTCTTTATCTTCGGCTTCTGCTGGCTCAGTCCCGCGCTGCAGGATCTGCAAGCCACGGCGGCCAACTGCACGGTGCTGTCGGTGCAGCAGATCGGCGAGGTCTTCGAGTGCACCTTCACCTGTGGCGCCGACTGCAGGGGCACCTCGCAGTACCCCTGCGTCCAGGTCTACGTGAACAACTCGGAGTCCAACTCCAGAGCGCTGCTGCACAACGACGAGCACCAACTCCTGACCAACCCCAAGGTAAGGACGCCCCGCTAGGGACGCCGGGCTGCAGCCGAGGTTCTCGAGGTTTGGGGGAGCCTCGGCGTCGGACGCCGCGCGGGGCGGGCTCGCGGTAGGCTCTCGTTCCTCGGGGGAGACGGGGGCGTTGGAGGCTGAACTCAGACCCGCAGCGGGCGCGGCCCGCAATCCCCGGGCCCCGTCCTTCGGGTGGGTTTGCGTGCGGCGGCCGGTGGTGCCCTGAAGCTTTGTCCACACGTCTCTCTTGCCTGGTCTCACATTTCGAGACCTTGGCCCAGCTCCGTCCGGCGCGTGCAAGACGGACTTTGGAGACCTGCAAGGAGCCGAAAGTTAACTTTTCCTCAGGTTAAAGCCAGTGGGTAGCAGGGATCCACCTCCTCGGGCGCGCGGTCACGGTCTGAGCTCCCACTGGCCGCGTCAGGCACTCACTTTGGGTCGAGGGGGTCTTTTAGGCCCCTGGGAAGGCGTTAGAGGGTTCTTTGCCTTTTAACTCGAAACAGACATTTATAACTTGGGATGCAGAGATGAGGGTCGACAAACGACGTGGAAATCACATGCGAAATTCTGGGTAGGTCTGTTTTGGGGGGGTATAGAGAGCTCCTGGTTTTATGAAATAGATTCTCAAAAGGGTCGCGAGGAAGCCTAGTGAGTCTGTGTGTCTAGGGACTATCGGGAGCCATCTGGAGAACAGTAAAACTTACTGAAAATAGAAACCCCTTCGTGAGATGAACCGGATATTCCTTCCCTGTCAACTTTTTTTCGTTCTCTCAAGCAAAAAAGAAAAAACCTGGTTAGGACTCGGGGGATGGAGAGTCGAGAGAGGGAGACTCAGAAAACTGTTCCCAGTGCGGGGTGGGGGGAGGGACTTAGGAAAAGCAGTGTCCTCAGTCTGTGAACTAATTGAGCTTTGTAGTGCACCTGCTTCTGCAAGAAGGCCTTTTCTTTGTTTTTTTTTATCTTCTCTTGGTCTGTTTTTACTATTCTAGTTTAACTATTGAGTAAAGGTGTGTTTCTTCTTTAAAGTTACTGTCATTTTCCCTCTTTTTGAGGACTCTGCTCGGAGATCAAGCAGAAAAAAAAAAATCCAAAAGGGAATGAATCTTGAGTACACAGGAGAACTTTCTGTTAAATGTGACAAGATGTATTAATACAAAAGTAAACATTTCTATATTAGCATTTTAAGATAACTTAAACTTAATATTTCTCTGCAGTAGAACTCTAGGTCTTATTTCCTAAGCAAACAGTAAATTCTTGAATTTGGAAAATTTTTAAAAAAGAATTCCTTTTTAAAAATATGACTCCTCTTTAAAAAAAAAAAAAAAGATGTGTTCCTGCTGACAAATAATATTCCTTTACCTTAAAAATGATAATAACATATAAGAAGGAAATATAAAAATACGTATTTAGATATGGTATAAAGTTCAATGTCTTGAAGAAGCCATGTCTCAAAAACAAATATTGTAAATTAATCTGTTAAAACTCAGAAATTTTAGAAGAAACCTTAGGTTTTAGAAATATCACATTTTTTTCAGGATTAAGCCAGTAATATAAAAGAAGGTGCCAAGCAGTAGTAATGATTTAGAAATTATATGGTAGTTCATTATTTAAGAGGCATTGTTTTAATTGGTGAAACACTGCTAATTAGTTTAAGATAGTTCAGACACTAATAATATATTACATACACATATACCAGTAAATGGCTAATATCCAATTAAGATATTGAGGAGTCAGTATTTACTGCAAAAAGCCTGCTTTGTAATTTCCAGGCAATTTTGAAGGATCTGGCAGAAAAAGTAAATTGAGATCATTAGGACATAGATTTTTAAATCACCTGGAAGCAGTCATAATGCTTTATGTAATGCTACAATTTTATCTCTTTTTGTTACAAACAACCTGTTTTCTTCCAGTGCCAGTTCAGATCCTGGCAACAATTGTTTTGAAGAAGTATCTGAACAAAATGACATTTTACAAAGTAAAGTAGTCAAGAAATGACAGAGCTGGAGAAAGATACTTATGCTACCAAAAAGTGATGAACGATGTCCCAGTCAATTTAGTCAAGGTTTCCCGAGCCAAACCAGTCAGTAAAAATCTCTTTATCCAAATTATGATTACAGTATAGCATTTATAGAGCATAAGTCTGTTCTTTCACAGTCACCTTTCCACTTTGGACAATTAAATGCTCAATTTGGAAATTCTAAGCAATTAGTGATGGGAAAATTCAATATAACCAAAATATTGTGCCAGAGTTTGGTACAGAAGCAGAATGTGTCCACAGTGCTCTTGTAATTAGGCAATACCCATTACCCTCTTCTATTGCCTCTTGGGTGCCAGGATCTTTTCTTTGCCTTAATGTTGCCTATTTATTGAAGGCTCTTTATAGAATGTCTGGGTTCCCTTCAGTGCCACGGATCCTAATCACCTTCAGCCTTGTCTTTTTCTTGACCCACTACAGGAAAAACCATTTAGGAAATCACTTCTTAGGGAAAAAGAAAGAAAGAAAAGAAAGAGAACAAGGACTTTCCTCCACCCCTCCCTTGAGCTTGCTGCATTAATTATAGTAAAAGGCAGGGAAAGGGAAAGACTATTGCAAGTGTATAATTCTTTTTTTTTTTTTAGATTTTATTTATTTATTTGACAGACAGAGATCACAAGCAGGCAGAGAGGCAGGCAGAGAGAGAGGAAGGGAAGCAGGCTCCCTGCTGAGCAGAGATCCCGATGCGATGCGATGCGATGCGGGGCTCTGTCCCAGGACCCTGGGATCATGACCTGAGCCGGAAGCAGAGGTTAACCCACCGAGCCACCCAGGCACCCCGCAAATGTATAATTCTTAAGCCACAGACTACTAAGGAAGATAGTGTGAATTAATGTGACCTTTGACTATACTCTTTTTAAAATATCTTTAAGTACTATTCAGCTTATTTAGGTTTTGAATCATATCCATATTGTCAAGGGTAATCACTATATCCATCCAGTCATGTAATACAGTATACAAGTTAACTAGTTATACATGGGACAATGGCCTGCTCTGGGATTTAGCCATAGGGAAGTCTAAATGTGGGATCAGCTTCCTCTTGCTACTATTCTCATCACTGCATTATTTCTGAGTGGCTTACAGTTGTGTGGGCTAAGAGCTTTGGTTCTTAACCATGGCTGCATATTAGACTCACTGGGTATCTTTAAAAAGAGATTCTGATGCTTGGGTCCCCCACTTACGTCTTGGGAGAGTCCTGAGCCTTGGTGTTTTGTTTTTCCTTTTTTTTTTTTTAAGTTTTGCAGGTGATTCTAATCTGAACACAGAGTCAAAAACCATTGGCTTAGAAAACATACTCTTCAATTGTGCAAGAAAAGTAAAATAAGAACCAAAAGGATTCATTGTGATTAAAACTTGTGTTTTTAGGTTAAAAGACGTGACTGATGCTACTGAGTTTCGGGAGTTGGTATAAAAGGAAGGACTCAAGGAAATTCTGAAGGAAAGGAAGAGAAGCATTTAACAGTAGCGTAGAAATGATCATTTAAAATTGATTTAGTGTAGGGGTGCCTGGGTGGCTCAGTCAGTTAAGTGCCTTCCTTCAGTTCAGGTCATGATCTCAGGGTCCTAGGATCGAGCCCCATAGAGGGCTCTCTGCTCAGCGGGGAGCCTGTTTCTCCCTCTCCATCTGTGCTCTCCTGCCTTCTCTCTCTCAGATAAATAAATAACATCTTTAAAAATAAAGATAAAATAAAATGGGTGAAGTATAAATGGAATGAACTTACACAGTTCCAGACATTTGATTTTGCATCAATATAGACAATGGGTGACAAAGAAAAGATGAATTTTTAAAACTACCTCTTGTATGTGTAACAAGGGAGTGGGTGATTAGAAGCTATGTGTTTTATTTTTGCTCTGAGGTTTTTTTTTTTTTTTTTTTTAATTGCTTTCTCTGGTCTGAAAAACCCAGACACAAAGGGAAAAAAGTCTGTTTCTAAGAAACCCGTGTTGTGAAAGAGAAATTCACGGAAGAGAAGAAACACTTTAAGTTTTGAGTGTATCCCCCCAGACTGGATGTTCCTAACTGAGCCTTTGCAGCTTACAGTCATCTTCTTGGTGTCCTTCACATCCATACTAGCGTGTCCCAAAGCCCCATCCCCTGCCCCCAGCCACACATCCTGAGTAGGAAAGGTGGTCTGCTGGGATTAATTTCTGAACTCCATCCTTGAAATAAATATTCAGTGTGATACACTTTGTGACCAAGGGAGGTCCAGCATATGAAAATGAAATAATAAAAGACTAAGCTGAATGGTGACAATTTCTCTACTGTCTTTATTTCTCTATGATAAAAGTGGCTTGCTGTGGTTTTTCCTCTGGTGAGTCTATTAAATAACTTTTGGCAAATGGGTAAAATTCACTTCTGCAATACTTGCTTAGCATTTGTGATCAAAGAATGGAGCAGGAAATAGGAGGACATACAAAATTAAGTTTATTCATTTAACTTTGTTAAAGGCCTATTCTGTGCTATGCACGCTTGCAGGTTCTGAGCCTAGAAGAGAGATCAAGTTTATGCCATCATCAAGCTTATATTTTCGTGGACGGTGACAGACAAGAAGTAGATTTATAATGTGATGTCATGTAATGATAGGTGTAAGAAAATGCAAGCAGCATAAGGATACAGACAGTGGTGGAAGAGATGAAGGACTACATTTTGCATGAGATGGTCGATTAAGTGACGTTTGTACAGAGACCCAAAGAACATGAGGGCCTGAGGAGAGGCATAAAGGACATAAAAGAGTCAATCATGTGGCTACCTGGAAAAATAGGCTGGGGACACAGCAAGTGCACAGGCTTTGGGGCAAGTGGCTGCAAGGCTCCCTGAGGAACAGGGAGGATGACAGTGAGGCAGGACTCTAGGAAGCAAGATGGAAGACAGCGGGAGGTGAGGTTATGCCTTATAGATCATGATATGGACTTTGGATTCTATTTTACATGTGTTGGGAAGCTGTCTGACATTAAGCAGGACTAAGTT